AATCTAACCGTGCTATTTAAAGCACTTCAAGCAGCTTTTAAAGCCAAAGGTGTCAGTGGGTTAGTCTGTGTCAGGATGATCATCTTCATTAATAGACACCTCCAGTGGTGATGCTGATAAGCACTGAGGGAATGGGCTCAGCTTTTATAGGAATCTAATGTGCAGTAGATCACAGCTCCAACCCCTTTACAGAGGAACAGAAGACCTCGCCTTTTCAGCCAGGCCAACAATTCCCTTTAACGACCCCCCTTTCAGAGACATAGAAAGGTATGGGGTATTACAGGCTAACAATGAAGCCAAACGACCCCCATTCCAAAGGGGTGGACCCATTCGTCCGCTTCAATTTGCATGTTTTCTAAACAAAAACAAGACTTTGTTAGGCTGCTGTATAAAACCTGGAACTCAACGCTATTTCTGACATTTTGAATTGAAAAAGCTTCCTGGATGGAAGAGAAACGTCTTTAAACTTGGAAACAAAGTCTTTAGTGTTTCTAAAGAAACTAATGCACAGCTCAAAAGGAGGTTTTTCTAAATCAGTGTCTCCATTTTCACCTTGTTGGTTTTTAGATTAAAAAATGAGGTAGATCAATAATCTATACTGTTTATCTGAGGTAATATTATTCAGCTCATTTTGGGAGCAAGCGAGCTGTGAGTGATTTATTTGGTCCTGTTTCAAAACGCAGGCAGCCTAATTCATTTTTCCACATAACTGCAGCTTGAACCTGGCAGCTCTTATGTTCATAAATCAACGGCGATGTAATCCAACACTGCAGGTCAGGAGAAGACCTTCACTCTACAGGTTGAATGGGTTTCCTTCACGTGAATTGAAGTAAATCAACGCTGCGGTTGAGTGCTCCATAACTAAAGTCAACAGCGATACGGCGCACGCACATTGATCTGTCCTCTCTGGGGAGTCGGTGTTAAAGCAGGCAGAAAACAACCTGAAGAAGAGGAGTAAATTAACCCTGCAGCTCCGTCTTTCCCCTCAGTCTTCTGCAGCCACCATCCTGATTCTGTATTGGGTCTCATGGAGGACCAACCGCTGCAGGGTCGGTGCCAAAGCAACAAGAACCCAAACAGAAACACCACTGCTGAACAATCATGATGTGGAACCAAAAGCATTTCATGGCAGAAGGTTTCTGCGCCGATCAAGTTTCCAGTTATTTTTACATTTCAGTCATTTGAAGGGAAAGTCATCGCGCTGACAGCGTGTTCCTCACAGCTGAGTCTCATTTATGGCTGCGACTTCATATTTGATTCATTTATCCTCCGTTTCTGGAGCCAGAGTTGTTGCTTTTTGATAGAAATCTGTTTTAAATCTAAACTACTTTTAGGAAGAAAAAAAAAAAAAAAACATAGGACTTTAGGACATTCCAATGATTAATTTCCCCCCAAAATATTGAAATGACAAAATCCCACTTAAGGTATTGGGTTCCAATGTTGACCTTCGGAGATGTTTCCTAGAAAAGTATCTAACCCTCTCCTCTCCTGCTAAAGTTCTCCTGGTTTCTACATCTCCAGTAACTGTAAAAATATAAAGTTTCTGACTGTAAAAGCAGCTTTAAATGTATCTTTAGAGAAAAGCAGCCAACATGCTGCAGCTGACTGTGCCCTAAATGCAACATGCTTCTGCAGAATGTTTCTGTGCAGCAATAAGGTGCTTTAAAGGTAAGGAAAAGTGAGCATGAACCTCTGTAAACCTGTCATGAAGTTTGCAATGAGCTGAGTGGAGCGAGACGACCCCCCGCGGTGCACGCCGAGCACAAACATCGTTCAAGCATACAGAGACGCTGCCTGTGGGTTCAGCCTTTGAATGCAGCACGCCACATTTCCTACAGCGCCCAGAAAGAAATAAATCACCGCTCTGACAATCCCACTGATTTCACTGGAAGCTTACAGGTGACAGCGGAGACTCAGCTTGCCAGTGGGCCGTAGAGGAAAGGACTGAATAACTGCAGAAGAATGTAGTCGGGTTTGTTTGCACAGCCTTTATTTGGTGAGGAAAATTGTGATGGATGAAAATAGCGTCTGCATCTGGCAAACAAACCCCAACTCACTGACAATGATGTACATGTGGTATTAGATTCAGACGGCTCATTTGTCACTTTTACTTTATGTCTTAGTTTCTTGTTATTTGACTGTTAAATAAAACGAAGCGGAGATGTTAACAGCTGTCTGAATTCATTTGATTCTAAATACTGAAATTGGAAATAATTTATTCTAATTCATCATTTTATAAAATATCTTTAGTTTTGTATGTAGTAATCCACCTGTAAGTTCTACAAAAGTATTTAGAAAGTATGATGGCTGACAGGAGTGATGCAAACTTTAAACACAAAACTGGGAGTGGCGGCCTGGTGGTTAGGAGTTCGAAACCCACTGCCACTCTGGCTCCCTGAGCAAAGACCCTCAAACTCTCACTTAGGGTTGCCAACCATCCCTGAAAAAGCGGAACTGTTCATTATTTAGAAATAGAAGTACCTGTCCTGTATTAGTGGAAAAGGAACGCAGTTTGTCCCGTACTACTGTGAGAGTAAAAAACTAATGGAAAATGAAGAACAAGGGCACGTTAGATACAAAACTTACGGTAAACTTGTTCCTGTCCTGCGTTGTGACCAATGAGCTGTAGACATATATGCAATGATTCCAGAATCCCCTCATCGTCATAATGATTTATTTTTTTGTTTACAACTGTAGCCTATGTACAGTCATTGCATTTGAGGCACAAATATGTTTACAATTTTGCACAAGCTTGCTGTTGCACCAAAAATGTGCACCATTTATTTATTGTTATTGTATACAGTTTTACAGTTTGAAGTTAAGCAGGACAGGCTTATGTTTTGTTAGGAATCCAGTTTGCGTGGGTTGTGTTTTTGTTTGTTTTCCCTTCACCACCAGGTGGCGCCTGGTTCTCGTTGGCCTTCTTACACACCTGTGGATGGTTGCCTCATTACCGGAGGACTCTTAAGCTGCTGACTGCCACTCGACGCCAGAGTGTTTGCCAGTTTTTGGAATTCATCCTGCAAACTGGATGTTTTGGACCTTCTCCCCCTGGAAGGATTGTCTGAGCTTCAGCTGAGCTGGGGATTCAAACTGGAGGTTTGGATCTACTTTTCCCCAAAGGATTGTTTGAGCTTCACACTGAGCAGCGGATTCATCTCCACAAGAAACCGTTCAAGTACCATAGGAAATCTAAGTGGCAGTCAGCTCCTCCGTTCCTCAAGGAAACACCTCAATCTGGGTAAACCCTGTCCGCCCTCCAACGAGCAGCACTGGACTCTTCTCTACCAGTTCTCAATAAACCTGTTAAACCTTCCCCTGGTCTCTCTGTTTGGTTTTCTGCATGTGGGTCAGATCTTTGCATAAAATCATGACATGTTTAAGATATTTATTGTATTCAGCAAAATTTGTTATTTTGTATTAAAGTGAATTGCTGGATAATAATTTGTTAATGTGTTCATGTCACTAGATTAGAGTCAAACAGCAGAAAAAATAACATCACACACAAAGGGGGCTTTAAAAAAATCCCCACCCAGGAGGGGTGAAGGCAATCGGGTCAGCTAGCACATACATGAGGTGTCCCTTTTTTATTCTCAGGGAGTTGGCAACCCTACTCACACTGCTCCCTGGGCGCCCCATGATGGCAGCCCACTGCTCCCCAAGGGGATGGTTGAAATGCAGACAGTGAATTTCGCTGCACTGTACTTGTGACAGTGTAAAAAAAACACCGGAAACAACAACAACAAACTGATGCAGCAGGAGAAGATTGCAAAAGAAAAGTGCTGCACTCACAGAAAAGATGCAAAGAAATTGCTNAAAAATACAAAAACATTATCAAGTTTAAAGCTTTCCCTATATTCCATCTGTTTTCTGTGATTGTAGGTTTGTCCTGTTGGACAGTTTTTCTTTTCCATTAACAGTCAGTTTGATTGTTTGTGGAACATCATGTTGGACCAACAGGAGAGAGACTGAGCTGCATGGAGTCGTAAAGTTGATTTAACCCTACAGGCGGTTTGAGCCTTACCACAATCAGAGGTGAGCAGAAGATAATTTATGGAGCTTCTGCTCTTCTCCAAGTCTTCAGGATCTCATCCATCAAACAGCAACGATAGCAAATCGACCACATAATGAAAAGTAAACGTAGCAGGAGAGGTTTGTGAGAAAGCTCCCTGAGGCGGGATGTGGTGGAAAATAGGACATGAAAAAGTGGAGGAAGAAGCCAAAGAGTTTACATCACAGCAGAAATCTCTCATGCTTTGACTTTGGGTTTTCCAGAAATGTTCCTGAAATCATGTGTGACCTAGCTCGTTTGTAAAGGTGGAAAAACAGCCTGAAAATTGGAGAGACATGCAGAAAGAATGGCGGACTAGTTATTAGTAAGTAATGTTTATTTATAAAGCACCTTTCACAGACACAGAGGTCACAAAGTGCTTCACAAAAATAAAATACAAATAAAATACATTTACAGTCACAAAAGACATGGTCATAAAACAACGGTTAATCTACTGGATTTAAAATGCTTTCTTAAACAAACATGTTTTCAGTTCACTCTTAAAAACATAAGCAAAATCAAGTCAGCCCGAGGAAAGCGGAAGATGGCTCCAAAGCGCCGGCGCGACCACCTGAAAGGAGCGATCTACCCTGGTCCTGGTTAGTAGCCTCGTGAGACCATCCTGATCTCGCGAGCTTTCAAGGTTTCACTCGCAGATCAGTCTGGAGACTCTCCATTGTAGAAAATTTGGAGCCGTTTAACAAACGAACGT